AAATTTATCTAATCTCTTATTGTGTTAATATTTTCAGAGGAAACCGTGCCTCAATATTCCAATGAAGTTTTCTTTGAATATTTTAGGCTTACAAGACAAAGTGCTAATCGCGTACATAGCTGAAAGATTTGAAATAAGCCAGCATTTTAATAGCCAAGTTGGCCAATATGGCAATATTCGTGCTTTGCATCAAGTAAAATATAAAATAATCATTTGCTGAAATTGGTATATATTTTCTTTAAAGATAATTACCTTGTTGAGCCATTTTCCTAGTTTTTTCGGAGACAACAACCACAGCAACAACCTTGTTTACTCATTGTTGCCTTAGACGAATTTTAGGTTATGTTATTTTATTTAAAATTGACACTTGACAGACAAAATGTTAAGCAGGTGTTCCTACCCTAGTTTCAAATTGGTCAGAAAACAATTAATTTTACAGACATGCGCATTGGACAAGATTTGCAAATTGTTGCAAATCTGTTTATGATTCATGGTTGGAACGAACCTATTGTAACTCTGCGCATGTAGTTTGCAATGCCACCTTTGTGGAAAATCTTAAAAAATGGACAAAATGCATTTTGTAAAGGTTCGTTCCAACCATGAATCATAAACAGATTTGAAACAATTTGCAAATCTTGTCCAATGCGCATGTCTGTAAAATAAATTGTTTTCTAACCAATTTGAAACTACGGTTGGAACACCTGACACATTTTAATATTTCCGGTGACAAATTCAAATTACTTAAAAACATAGAAACTCGATAAATAATCCTATTTATTGAACTAATTTTCACATTAAATCTATCGGCAACATCTCGAAAACTTGTAGTCTGGTGTCCCGTATACCACAATAGATGAGAACCTGAAATTAAGTTACATCTTTAAAGAAAATACCAATTTCAGCAAATGATTATTTTATATTTTACTTGATGCAAAGCAGGAATATTGCCATATTGGCCAACCTGGCTATTAAATTGGAATTGGAAAATAATTGGAATCTTGAGGCACAGTTTCCTCTGAAAATATTAACATAATAAGATATTAGATAAATGTATGTGCAAAAATGTCGATTTTACCTCAATAATTTTGATTATTAATTCTGTGCTCATCTAGTAGTAATTCTAAATCCTCCTCATCACTACTTTCCATGGACGACACGTCACTAATCTCACTACTATACTCTTCGTCACTCATTGCGAGTTAATTATGATATCTGTTTACAAGTCTTTAATTAGTTGAACAGCCCGTTTAAATTATTCAAACAGATACGAGTATAATCAAATTTGCTATTATTTTATTGGTTATGACGTGGTTATAGGTTATAACCATAGACTTAAAATAAAATATAGACTACACTATTTACATCTCAACGCGGTCAAACAATATTTTTTGTATACATGTTTACTTCTGGGTACAGTCGACCGAGCCTTCCTCATTCAGCCTATGTTGTCACGTCTTTAATATTATCAATATTTTTTTTCTTGTTACACACATATACTGAGATATTAATACTACAGTTTAATAAAGTAGGTTTTAATATTCCATAGATGTATTAAATAGTCCTTATACTACTAAATTATAAGTCGGATACTGTTTAAAAAGGATAAGTTCTTTACAATATGACAACACCGATTAGAGGCGAGGGAGCCTATTCATTCATTTATTACCTTGTAGTACGCATCGCACGTGTGCGGTAAAGCTTTGTTGCCGCTATGTCCCCGGCTGTTTTAACGCATTTTTTAGCTTGTAGTCCTTAAGTGTTTATTTTATTGACATTTTCTGTTCAAGAACTATAAAATATGGTTCGCCAATGCCAAATTTGTAGAAATTTGACTTAAATAATCCATTTAAGTCTTGAAACGACTTTCGACCGGTAGGCAACTCTCAATTTACCCATTGGGAGTCAGTGGCGTTGTTGTAGAAAGGCGCTTATTTAGATAATATTCTAGTAAAATGTAAAATCTGAATTTTTTCTCTTACATTACATTATTTACTTACTTACATTGTAACAAAATCATAATTATAACCCTGTTAATAATTAAGAATGTTTTTATTAAAAATATATTCCGGTTTATTCTAAAATTATCTTCAGAATCTAAAATAACATACAAGAATTTTAAAATGATATTACATTATGAAACAATATTTTTTAATATACCGGGTCGTATATTAAAAAACAAAAATCGTACAAAATTGGCTCACCCCCTATAACTTTTTTATTTTTTCAGATAAAAAAAAACAGATTTGTATGTTAGTAGGTATATGACATAAATTAGGATTTATTGACGTATTCAATTGTTTTTGGTCTCTTCCTTTTTCGCCGAAATGATTACATCTTTTGATTTTTAAAAGGCACACTCGGTATATTGCTACTTTATTCGATAAAACATGACACTCTGAATAGAATGACATATCATATGCCAACTTTTGACATTGTCGCTTAAAAACAAATCGTATTTTAAATTTCAATCCAGGGTGCCATGGTGTTGTTAAAAACACTAAGTTTTTATCAAGGAGCCTTGGAAAAATAGTTTTGATCGTCTAATAGGTTTCGTGTCTTGTATAGGCCGGTTAAAATATGTACACATCGTATTTTTAATCATACATATGTCAATTTTTTCAAATGGAACAAGGGTGACTCATTAGCATATTTGGAAAAAGCATTTTTTTATGAATATATTGATACCACACACTTGGTATTTCGAGTCAAATTGTCGTTATGAACCGCGTGTTACAATTACAATTAAATCATATGCGAAAATGTCAAAAGTTGACATATGATATGTCATCCTATTCAGAGTGTCATTTTCTATCGAATAAAGTAGAAATATACCGAGGGTGCCGTTTAAAAATTAAAAGTTATAGTCATTTCCGGTGAAACAGGAAGTGACCAAAAACAATTGAATGCGTCAATCAATCCTAATTTATTTCGTATACTAACATACTAAATCTTGTTTTTTATTTGAAAATATAAAAAATTATGGGGATGAGCCACTTTGGGACGCACCCGGTATAATAAAGACAGTACCGAGTTAAATAAATGTAGTTTTTATTTTATCCACTTCCTATCACCTTCCTTGCTTTAATGGAACAGATTTATGTTTTCTCTAATTTACATAATAAGACATCACTTAACCAGAAAAAAATTACAACAATCATATTTTTTCTCTCCCTGTCGCCGATTCTATTATATCTGTGGAATAGATCCTGTTTTGATTAATATTAGAAGTTGTAAATGTTTGACTAAAATTAATAATTTATTATTAATTTCAAAAATTACGTAATTTCGATTATAAAATTTCTTCTATAACGTGTATTTTATTATTTTTATCCTTTTTGGACTCTATATTGTTTCTTCTAAACTTTTATTAAAAAAACCTGTCCTAAATCTTAATAAAATATAAAAAAGTTTAAATACGATATATTTTTAATTTAATTATAGCTTCATTGAGAAACGAAAGACAGTGTTGTGTTTCTCGACAGAGTCGTCAGGGAACGACCGTTACGACAGAGACAACCTATCTATCGCTCGTGTCGCACTCGTTAAAACCTAAAACAATAACACAACAATAGCAAGACAGTGTCTGACCGCATGTTCCAGCTATTTATGAATGAGATGCTCGGTCTATATTTTATTTTAAGTCTATGGTTATAACGGTAATACGCATGCGTCGGATAAATGATAGGAGAAAATTTTGCAAACCGTTCTGACAGTTTTCAAACAGTTTTCAATTTAAGTTGGAACAGAAAACAAATGATTTACTAACCGTCAGTAAATCCGGTTGGAACGCTTTTCAACTTCTGCGCAAACTCCTTACTGTAAGAAACCGTTTCTTACGCGGGTTGGAATGAACCTTAAGTCTGCCTCTCAAATACTGGCTCCCCTGTTAAGTAAAATAAAATTTACAATTTATTTTATTAAAAATTTTATTTTTTGTTTAATAGAACACCCTGTATAGTTTAAGTATTTTTGAAAGATTTTTTCTTCAGATTTCAAATATACAATTTGTCTATATTTGCTTGAACCGTTTTTGATATACCTACATTGGTTTAGTCCTTGGACTAAAATAAATAAAAATAAATAGTCTAAGGTTTAGTCATTGTATTTAAAAGTTTCTTTCAATAAAATTCTCGACATGGTTTCAGTATATGTACAAGGTTTTCAGAGATAATTAGTGTGATAAAAAGTGTAATTATAAATTTTTCTGATCGTCTTTTGCCTTACAAGTCCTACATTTAAAGTTGTTTGCTACCTCCAATAAGGAAAGCCTGCATGTATAATCTGGTATAATAATGATAACGCACTAAATAAATGGTTGTAAATACGATTTAAGAATCTATTGAAATACCAGAGGAGATCAATTGTATGTTCTTCCCTGGAAATCCAGTCCAGTTGGCTTAGAAATGACGATCGATGACATTCTCCATATAATTCTACAAAAAAAATGATAGCGATCTTCATTTCAAAGTCATCTCCGACGCGGTTTTTTTTCGATCGAATATGGTGCAGTGAAAACAAATTAAGTACTCAAATATTTTTTTTTTAAGTCTCAAGGTCAATTCGCTATTATCTGAGAGGATACCTCTAAATAAAAAGTTAAATATAAAAGATCTATTGTAGAAAACAAGTTCCAAATATAATTTTAAAAAATTATTAAAGCGATATTAACTCAATTTTTTAAGAAATGTGTTATGTTCAATGGGTGTTCAGTGCATCCATAATATTTGAATAAATACTTCAGTTTACTGAAAAATCGAATATATTAAGTAAAGAAATATGTTCAAAAAAGATTAAAAGAACTAGTTTTATTTTAGGACTATAATATGAAAACAGTTTTACGCTAAATAAAAATTTCTATATTTATAAATTCAATGGACAAGGGAAATATTTCGGTTAAATAGTTTTACATTTTCTGTTCTAGATAAGTTATAAATCCCTAACCTATAGGCTTCTCACATTTGCATAGTTTTAAGTAGTAAATAACATATTATTTTACTTACTCCAGTATACAATACATTCGGTGTAACTTCTGGTTTAACTTGGGCAGCACTAGAAAACTGAGCCAAGTTTGGCAATTTATTAATTTTTGTTAATGTGTGCTTGGCTGCTTGAAGAACCCTCATTTTGATACTTTCTACTTAGATAAAAATGAATAAACACCGACTAAATTATTTATGCCACCGAACCGATACTAACGAAAATTATTAATAAAATAAAATAAAAACAATCTCACTAACCGGCAATATTGCCAAATCGTGCAAAATCCCACTCTTTAGCTCCTCCTTTAACAGCTGATAAAAGAAAATATACAGAACCGAACTTTATCTAATTCATGAAAATTAAATTTCAAAATCACATGAAACCAAAATTTTTCGGCATAAACGTAAGTTCATTTTTATTTATTAGATCGTACGATTATTTTATACAGGATTTTATCTTTTTTATATAATTTGTTATCTTTAAATGAACCATAGTTTAAAGATATTTATTATTTTATGGCAGAGTTTTATGGTTTAAAGATCCATTACGGATTACGGCTCTGAAATGTCACGTGACGAGAAAAAAACGAAAATTTAATTTGCCGAATCCTAAATTTGAAAATGATTGTCAAAACTTATTAATTTTAAATTAAATTATATGAAACTGTGCAATTATATCAGTTGTAAATACAGAAATACAGAACTAAATATATTAAATATCTGCAATCACAGTGGTAATGTATTTTGTCGTTGAAAGAATTAATTAAAATAAATATTGTAAAATGGAATATTACGGACTGGATACATAACTGAGCAAAGGCGGCAACATTGTTAACTTTTTTATAAATAAAAACTTGGCGGTATTTTATTTTTAATAAGGAAAAAAATGATATCTCTGAAATAGAATAGTGTTCATAGTCCGTGCTGCGCGAGAGTGCTTTTCCCTATTTAATTTTTAGGAGGTAAGGCGTTAAATATTAGCGTTTTTTCTTTAAAATAATATATATTTTCTTTGACTTTACCGACCTAACCTATTTTATCAAAATGTCAACTTTTTTGTGCTCCCATTCCAGGGCTTTTTAGGATAGTTTCAGAAAAAAAATAGGATTATAATGAAATATTAGCTATACAACAGAAACGCCGCGTTTTAAAGAATAATTTTATTTATACTCATTCGTTTTAATATTTGATTCAACCAGAAATATGAATGCTTCAGTGTTCTTTGATACTATTGGAACACAAGAACAGCCCTACTATAAGCTTAATAAAAACGAACACGGAGATTTACATATTATGGGTAACGATGTTGTAAAATTGGAGCTAAGTAAAGATATAATTGGACTGCCTCTAAATGTTCTTTCATCAGCCTATGCCGAATTAACTGGAAGGAATGATCGCATAGAAAATAAAGATATGGGTTTGTATCGACCGATCTCACCCAGCAATGATGAAAATTACAGTCCATATGGATATAGAAATTCACCTTCTCCTGGACAAGATGGTATATTTTGATAAAACGTTTAATTTCTAGTCTTAACAATAAATTTTAGGTGTCAAGTTTACTCCAAGGAATAATTATTCACATATCAACAATCAAACAGTGACGTTTGGTAAATTTTCTCATATATCACAAGAAAGTTTTGCAAATTCAAACAATTATCAGCAGCATCATCCAAACAACAATTATTCTATAATTAATAGCTGTTATAGAAACAACAATAATACCAATAGTTTAGATAATAACCACAATGCACATTTTTCCAAGAACAGGTATGTATATTTCATAATTACAGATCAATTATACAATTATTTCATCACAACTATTTGCTAAATAAAATTTATATGAAATAATATTTAATTTGTTGCTATATTCTGTGATAGATTCTCCTTTGAAATTTAATAAACAGGTATTATTTAATTCTGTATTAGTTTGTTCGTAAAAGAACATGTTTAAAACATTTCGGAATCCAAATACATTTAAAAAGTACCATGAGTGGGATGACACCCATGAAGGTTGAAGATTAGACAAATCAATATTCTTTTGAAGCATCTGTTTAAAAGCAAATGTTAAAGGAATAGGGATCTAGAAAAGAACAATTAATAAAAGGTACTTAATAATTGATAAACAACTTGCTTTAGTGCAAATGAAGCCACTAAATATATATGACACCCATGCCCCAGCTAGAATCATAGGTAAATGATTAGCTGAGTGTTCTCGTATAAGACTAATATATTGTTCTCCTTGATCAGGTAAAACCGGTTGAGTTTTTTTTGATTGAAATGAACAATGTTGAGTGTTCATTAACTCAATTTGTTTCTTCAGAAATTGTCTTCTATTTTCGAATGCCTGCATATATTAAGGTGTTTAATGATGTTCACAATCAATAATACTTTATTTACCTTTTCTGGTATGTATTGGTAGTTGATTTCCAAAGCTGCTAATTTATTTTTTAAGTGAATTTTTTTTATATCACTAATTGATGATTTTGATGAGGTTTTAAAACATCTTAAAGCATTATGTGTGAGAAATTCAACTAAGAATGTAAATAGAACAATAGGTAGGAACACCCAAGTTCTAATGTGAGAATCTAATAAAAGATCTTTGAACATTTTTCTGGTAGAAATTCTATAATTTTCTTGACATATGCCAATAAATAATGTCAAAATGATGAATTATACAGAGGCTGTATTTGAAAATGAAAAATTGTGTAGTGATATCCCATTTGATTTTTATGTCTTATTATTCAACTGTATGATCGAAAAAAACGGCGTCCGGTTGGCTTGGAAGTGGCGATCGTTGACTTTTCCTATATAATTTTTCATATAAAATGACAGCGATCTTCATTTCATAGCCATCGCTGACGCTGTTTTTTTTTTCGATGATACGGTATTTTATTAATATTTATAGTGGAGTGCCCAGAGACTTTTACCTCGGAATTCAATTACTGTGAATGTATTTATGTGAAACCTTCTGTATTGTGTTTTATAGATAAAATACTAAAATGTTTACCAATTTTTTTTCGTTGCTTTTAATTTTTTATTTTAGTAATTTTAGTAAATTCTTAATTATTTCCTTCTTAAAATTTTGATTTTTTTAATTCTTTTTCTAAGTAAATTTATTGAAATAAATAAATCTAATGTATAAGCTATACCCGAGGCTATACCTATTCTGCTTATATTCTAATCATTGAAATTTTGATTTAAATCGAATTATACAGAGTGACGTGTCATATACGACGCGGTTTTTGCAAGGAGAACAAAAGTTTGTATTGAATTGAAATTTTGTGAGCTTATGTAAGTCAATTTAAAACATTTTCTAAAAATATGTAGAGTTCTACAGGGTGTTCCCAAAAAAAGTTACACATCAAAGTTATGTTTTTTGTAATGGAACACCCTATATATTAATTGATTTTTGGATTCTAGTAAAAAATAAAGGTTTGTTTCATTAGAAAAGTATATGACTAAAATGTATAGTTTTTGAAATACATTCACCAGCACGAAAAATGGGCACCTTAAAACTTTGATGTATTTTAGGGTTAATATATTTTATTTTAATGGGCCGATTTTGATGATTTTTTAAGCAGCGTGTTGCCAAATTATTTGACTTTTTAGTATATTTTTCTGAATAAAAAAATGAAACTCCCCATCTGTTAATTATACGAGGGAAAACAAAACGTTGATATTTTGATGAAAGTTTAAAACACCCTGTGAAATACATATGTAAAAACAACAAGAAATTTAAAAATTATTTTATCATCTAGATACATCCTTTCTCGAGTTTTTTGGTTCGTCTCATTAGCTTTATTTTTGTTGGAAATATTCGGTTTTAAAGAAGGCACTAACATTTTTTCGTAATTTTTACATTAAAACCATGCCTTTGCTTTTAGGCCTAGTCAACACATCTAGTAAGTTCTGGTCCCGAAGCAGGCCTTCTTGACATAAGATTTGCTTTATTTAATCTTCTTCTTGTAATCCGTTAGTTAATATATACTGTCCTTAAGTGCAATTCATTATCAATTTGAAAAGCTGGGAAACGGCGGTTTCTTAGCGATAAACTTACAATAAGTCGATCGTCTCAATTAGAAGTTCTTATACGAAGGTTCCTGGACGTCTAGATTGACTTCCTCATGGACGTGGTCATAATTCAAAGACCATTTAGTATACTCTATGGTATTAAGATATTTTTGGAACCGGATTTTTATAGCAAATTCACTGAACTCGAACAAATAAATGATATATATTTAACTCACCCTGTATATCTATAAAAATATTTTTGAAATGTGAAATACCATTAAACATATATTTTGTAAAAGGTCTGGATTGAAAATCTCAAATAGGAATCCTGATACAGAGCTTTTCCGGAATCCGGAGCCATCTTGTATGTGTGTGTTTATTTAAATACTAAAGTGAAAGCAACGAATTTAAAACTTTGTAATATATCTTATTAACAATACAATGCAAAAAGTTTTATAAAAATTCGTTCACAGTAAATGATAAATAAATAAATAAATAAATAAATAAATAAATAAATGCCTTTATTGTCAAAAAATTTTTCAATTTGTGGACAAAGGTAAACTAACAAACAAAGTAAAAAAAAACAAGGTACACAAACAAACAAACAAAAGAAAATACAAAACATTATACAAATAATATTGTCAGTCTTATTGTTAAAATAAACATATATAAATGTTTACAATGTCAAAGAACAAAAAAAATTAAAATAATATTCAAAAATATTTAGCCAGTTTATAGCAAAATATCAATGACCTCTAAATAAATTAATTTCGATGTCATTAGTAAATATAGCAATAGCAAACATTAGACCAGTGTTTTCAAGATCAAATTCGATTTTCAATTCAAATTCATTTACGGCGTAGAAAGCCTTTTCTAGTAAATAAGAGTTCAATGCTTTGCGAAATGAAAAAAATGATGTTATGGATTTGATTTCAAATGGCAGGTGATTGTGCATTTTTTTCGAGTTGTATAATATTGAACTTTTAACTAACTCTGAGCGTGGGGTAGGTAGATAAAGATCTTGCTCCGCGTTCCTGAGTGGATAAGTGTGAGATGGCCTTTCTTGAGAAGCTGATACATGTTTACGTATTAGGCAAACGGATTCAAATATTAATAAGGAAGGAAGAGTCAATATTTTTAATTCTCTAAAAAAGCCCCGGCAATGAGTTCTGCTGTTTAGTCCCAGTGAATACCGAACAGCTCTCTTCTGGAGCTTGAAAATGCGGTCAAATTGAGCCGCACAACACGTACCCCAGAATGGAAGGGCATACCTGAGGTGCGACTCAAAAAGTGCATAATAAACAGTTCTAGCCACTGACAAGTTAAGCTCCTTAGAAACAGACCTTAATGCAAAACAGGCAGAGCTCAATTTTTTCGACAAAGCTTCGATATGAATCTATAATAAAATAAATGAATTCCGAGGTTTGGATCCCATAAGGGCTTAAAGTACTCCACTATTAGTTGATAAATATGCATATGCTATTAGACATAAACTATGATTTTTAGAGTGAATCAACCATCTCAACAAAATAATTCAAACAACTCGATTAATAGAGAACAACGACGGAAGCCTTTAAATACATTTTATCGTTACGGCTCTGATGTTATGATTAGAAGAGCACATGGGTTAACTCACAGGTATTATTTTAGTCTTTTTGGATAAAGTTTTCATACATTTCTTAATGTTTGGTTATTGAAAATATGATGATTATTGAGATATGAAAAAATTATTATTTTTTAAAGCGCGCTTATGTAAAATGTTTTATTGGAAAAAAACTGTGGAAACAGAACATATTACAGCATTATATAATTCTTTTAAGGTTTAGATCTCGCTCGGACATAATGAAAATCGATCCAAACCCTCCACAACTACTCAACGGTGGCGCCTACGACCAACTAAGTCAAGCAATTTGGGACGTCTTTACAATGAAAGCTCAGAAAATCGAGACCTACGAAAATAAAATCTCTTTGTGGAAAGACTTATTCTTGTACATCAGAGTAATGACAAACTATACAGTAATTTACTCATTGAATAATTTAATTTATCTTCTAGAAATGTCTAAACCATTATGCTCTGTATATAGTCGGATCAACGATGACTGGATTCGGTTTGAACACCAGCGACATTGACATGTGTCTGCTTATAAAACCTTGTACTGAAGATCCAAGATTGGATTCGGTACACCAGTTACATCATATTAAAAATTATCTTTTAAGATATGGTAAAAAGAACAGTTTTTTTAGAATGCAACTAATTGAGAATAGATTGTTTTCTGGTTTTGTGTGGACCGTGATATTTCAATGTTGATAATTTGCTGATTATGCAAATATGGTTGCCAAAACATGTTAAAACAACTTGCGATTTCCTCTTATGGACTTGTTATACCATAATCTTTGGCTTAAGGAGAACGCGCACTGAATCGACTTCGACCGGTCCACTTAACTAAGAGCTATCGGCAGTTTTATCATAGCAGCGACTATCGTAGGTATACAGGGTGAGTTTTCTACGATGTTCTCTATGGGTATCTCGGAAACTACTGGGGATCTCTCTTCAGTCCTTCACCCTACGGGAGAGTATGAGTATGGTGACATCATGTGTTGATTCCCTTCACTTCCTCGGACCAAGTTGTTCTACACTGCGCCATATGTGAGGCTTCGGGGAGGTTGTGGCCCACGAGGGTTTTGACTTGGTCTACCCTAGAGGTGGGAATTCTAGTTCCTTGGGAGGAACTAGTTCCTTAGTTCTAGTTCTTCCAGAGGAATAGTTCCTTGAACTAGGTCTTTAGTTCACAATAGTTCCCGACTAACATTGACATCCCCCTTGTTTGCTAATGCGTTTCGTTGTCAGTCAGAACTATTCACAGTATGATCTGTATAATTTTTATAATGTAGGGAGATATAACGAGACGTGTAATTGTGTATGTTAAAAACATATAGGTAAGTTTTATTGCAGATAAAAAAAATAAAAAAAACTCAAATTAGAATTTTAAAAACTATATCACAAATCAACTGGAGTAAATATTACAAAACTTTTACGAAAAATTGCATTTTTCCTCACTTCAAGCTTTTTGTTTTTGTCTAAAAATTCAGAATATCTACTTTGTTTTATAAGATATTTCTTAATTTTAGGGACCTAAAGTGAAACATTTCCATAAAATATATAAAAAACAAACTAAAAATCAAAAACAGTATCCACGACAATTTTCTGTGGTAATTACGCCGCGCCGGCTGTGGCAATAGACAAGGCCGAATCCATCGTCGTCGCCTTGTATTATATCTCGGATCTACCGACTGAATAGATTCCCGTGAACTAGTCTTTTAATAGTTCCGCTATGTCCGGATCCGATAACATACGGCTGGCACTCCCCACGCCTGCCTAGCATCAATCGCGCTGGCTGATCCATACGTAAACTAGTCTTTTATTTAGTTCCTCTAGTTCCTTTAGGTCCGGATCCGATAACATACGGCATACGGCTGGCACTCCCCACTCCTGCCTATCATTGGGCTACGCGCGCAAGCCGATCCGTCGCCGTCGCATATTATTCTATATCGGTCACAGTCCCGATCCCGGAATAGGTCCTGAGGAACTAGTTTTTTGAGAAACCAGGAACTAGTTCCTTTCATTCCGGGGTCGGAATAGTTCATTGGAACTAGTTCGTTCACGAACTACACACCTCTAGTCTACCCACCTTTTAGGTGAGCTTCCAGGTGATCGTCTTCCCTCTACCCTCCCCTCCACCATCAGTCTCTCAATTGAGGTGGACTCCTGGCAGTATGGCCAATCAAAATATCGGGGGATTGACTGATTCAATTTGGTAATCAGACGTGTCTCAATTTTTAGTTCTGCAATAATAGAAATGTTTGTTCGATGAGCCGTCCATGGTATTCGCAGCAGCCGTGGATATACCCACATCTCCAAGGCGTTTATTCTTTGCTTATCACTTTCCTTTAGTGTCCATGTTTTAGAGCCATACATAGCTATGGCGAAAATGAGGGAGTTCGCAATACGCAGTTTAGTTTTCCTTGTGATTACTGAAGTCTTCCATGTCTTAGTCAGCTTTGTTGTTGCATTCCTCGCCATTGCGACTCTGCGCCTGATTTCAGCCTCGCTTCCTCCAGAGTTGCTATCATGGAACCTAGATAGTTGAACTGGCTCACAACCTCGTATCCAGCCACTGTTCGGACATCAGGATGGTTGTTGCGGAGGCGGTCAACAATCATCGTCTTGGTTTTCCGTTTGTTTAGTTCCAAGCCATATTCTTTACTAATAGAGCACAGTATAGCCATGACTTCTGCAACTCTTCTTTGCCGGCGGCTATAATCACGGTATCATCCGCGTATCTCAGGTTATTTATCCTCCTGGAGATAGAGAGTCAGTTAAATTGGGAAAGAATTGCAGTTTTGTGGGCTCATAAATATGCGCCTTTCAGATTTTTGAAAAAGTTCATGGCTTACTAGATATTTAGAAAAAAAAAATTTCGGCTATTTTAAAAATTGTCCCTAATTCCATTATAATCTATTTTAGACAAAGTTTTCAGATAAAAGTTGTAGATAATCATATCCTTAATGAGATTGTGTCCTCCGTTTTTTTCTAAAGCCTGTCATTTTTGACATATGACACAAACATGTTTTTTATAGAAACCATAGTTGGCCATGACTTAATAAAAAATGCCATTGTTTAAGCTTTTCAGCGATATAAGCTATAATATGTTTCTTTCGAAAAATTACTGAGTTATTGCCGAGCGTATATATATATACTTACTGAGCGTATAGTATTATTGGTTCAAATTTTTCTTGGTTATACATTTTCGAGGATCCGGTGAACGTTACGTTTTTTAGAGAACGGGTTTCAAGTCATGTTAGAAAAGTTAAATTTAAAGACTCGCGCATCAATAGAGTGGTTCCAACATGACTTTCATTATAGTACCCCTCCCTCCCCCATAATGAAAGAACTTAAATAATGTGAAAAAAGAATGTTAAAAATTATTTATATCATAATTATGCAAACTCAGGGATAGGAAGAGGTCGGCCAATTGCATGGGCCTCCTCGATCACCTGACCTACCCATTTTAGATTTTTTATGGGGTATGGTTAACAGCAAGATTTACGAAAGAACTTCTGAATTAAGAGAGGCACTTGAAGAGGCGGTACGGGAGAAGTTTAATAAAGTCGACCGGTCGTTCTCTGAGAATAGCTAGTAATTCATTTTTAAAAAGATGCATTTTATGTACTCAAAACAATGGATTTTTTTAACATTTTCGAAAATAACTTAAAATGTATGTAGTGATATTATTTTTTTTAAGTTTTATTTTCTGTAACGTAAATTGTAAAGAACCGTTTAATAATATATTTTTATAAGTTATAAATCATAACAGAATAAGAATAGCATGCCAACTAAGTGAAATTAGCGAAAAAAAATAAGAATTGGATATAAGTCAATAATTTTTCGAAAAAAACATATACCTAATATCGCTGAAAACTTAAAAATTGCGCTTTTTATAAAGTCGTGGCCAATTAGGGTTTCCATTTAAAAAACATATGTTTTATGTCATATGTCAAAAATGACAGGCTTTAGAAAAAAATCGGTGAACTCAAACTCATTAGGGATGTGATTATCTACAACTTTTATCTCAAAACTTTTTGTCTAAAATAGATAATAATGGAAATAGGGACGATTTTTGAAATAGCCAAAAAAAATTTTTTCGACATCTAGTAAGCCATGGACCTTTTAAAAAATCCGAATGGCGCATATTTATGACACCGCAAAACTGCAATTCTTTCCCCATTTAACCGACTATTTATCTCCAGTAGTTTCCGGGATACCCATAGTGACTTCGTAAAACATCGTAGAAAACTCACCCTGTATAGAGATAGGAGGCGGCGCGGCGTCTACTGGCCGAAGTTTTTTAGTGAACGCTGTCGAACGAATATCTACGATGGCCGCAGTCGCTGTTTAGTCATACAAGTTGTATCACGGCCCTGATCCAGAAACCAATCTATTATTGTTATAGTCACTGGCTTTGGAAACCTTCTGCTCATTGCTAACTTCTTTCTAGGATTGATAATAGATTCAGAGCTGATTCTTGCCAAGGTTCCGATTCTGAAGTTCCGCGAGCAAGCTACAGGATTTGAAATAGACCTAAACTGCAACAATTCCGTTGGAATATACAACACGCACCTGCTCTATTGTTACGCCAGGCTAGATTGGAGAATAAGGCCTTTGGTGGTCATGGTAAAATTATGGGCGCAGGCGAACAGGATCAACGATGCTAAAAACTTAACAGTTTCAAGCTATTCGTGGACTTTAATGGTGATACATTTTTTACAATGTAAGAAGAGTTTTTCTTGTTATTAAAAGAGGAGTAAAACTCTGAAATAACAACTGTTTTAGGTGGGGTTTCGCCGTTGGTTTTACCTTGTCTTCATACCTTGTATCCGGAAAGATTTAACTCTGACAAGAGCAAAATTACAGACGTACATGAGGATATAAAATCGTTGGAGAATTTTCGTTCTTATAACACGGACTCTTTAGCAGAACTGTTTATAGGTAAATTAACATAATATGTAGTTTGTTCAGCAAGGGAATATATATTATGATTTCGACAGTCGACATCCGAAAAATAACAACAAACCTTTGAATAAAAAGACTAAAGCTTTGAATAAGAAGACTAAGGAAGGAGCATATCAAAAATCTTAGGTACACCGCGATGGGCCTCAAATATGGCCGACTTAAATTCCGGTTTATCAGTGTCGGTCTAATTTTATTTAAAAAATGTAAAACTATGATGTAGGGTAGACGTGGGGTAGACTCAATAATTTGTTGTTTTATTTTACGTTGTGAATAAATGTTGGTAGTTATTAAAATTGTTATAAAAATATATAATTCTAATAAAAATAGAGAAGTTATAATAAGTATTTATTAACACAAACATCCGATACGCTACTGAAGCAGGTAAGTCAAATTAACGTATCTAAATTCTTTGACATCTAATCTTTGACAAGTAATAAATAAAAGCTAAAATGCAAGAAAAATATATAATTTAGTTAATTTAAGTGAATTTCGTAAATGATCGGTTTACTACACGTATGTATATTATATAGTCACTTACTAGCAAAAAAGTTGTTCCATTATTTCACTCAATTTTTGCCGAGATCTACCGCACGCTACACAACCAACTATTTTAGAGTCTTTTTTCGATAAATCGCGATAGTGTCACTGTTAATTTAAGTTCTGCCACAATTTCCATCTAGATTTACTACCTTTATACAACTATCAGTAGTAGAATAAATAATAAATAACATAAAATAAGCTCCATAAAGACTGACAAATCCACAAAATTTCAAATCAAATTCAAATGTGTCAAATGAATCGTCAAACAGAACTGTCAAGGATCCCTACCCTAGAGAGCTTTTATGGTGCCTTTTCCGCCCACCATGCATGAATACATGGATAGCATTATGCTCCTTCCTTAGTCTTCTTATTCAAAGGACTAAAGCTTGATTTTCATGCCTCCGTTATCCGTTGATACGATGATCCGATGGCGCTCTGATTGGTCATAGCGTTTTCGCGCCACTTCTCATCCGTAATTTTTTTAGTCCAGTCCGCCAACAGAGAAAGTTAAAATAAATGTAACTTTTCGTACGATAACGGACGTTTTGACACTTTTTAACAAATTTAATCTGATCTAACCTTAATAAAAATGTAATAATACAAGAGCTAGCAACGTCGGAAAAACGAGAATTTTAAGAAAGCCTGTTCTTTAATATATCTTTTGCTATGCCCTCCTGACCAAAGTGCGAGCAAAGTGCGGTTCCGTCAGGCTGCGGGTAGACTCTGCGGTTCACTACTGCGCGTCACATCTGTACAGGGTATCCCCTTTTCCTGTGTTTTATGGGATTTCTCGTTTATTCCAAAAAGTTCCAAAAATGTTTGAATTCTTTTGTGCAACAGCATTGTTTGCGCAACGCGTTGTGTAGTGTATGTGTGTGTTGCGCTTCGTTGTGCAATATTTTAGTTTTCATCCAAATTCTTTGTTTTCTTTTTCGTTTTTTGGTATCATCTACAACATCTAGGGTATATACGATAATAATTGACGCAAGGACATAATTGTTTCTCGAACAATGCACAACTTTTAATAAAAAGTTTGATCAAAATTCTACTAAGTGCATGGGTGATGCAGTTGTGCAACGCAACATTGCGCGTCGCTTTGTTGCGCAATTTGTTTGATAATGTATGAGCCGCTGAATCAGTTGTGCAACGCAACATTGCGCGTCGCTTTGTTACGCAATTTGTTTGATAATGTATGGGCCGCTTTAGTTCCCGAAAGACAGGCCGAATTTGTGATGCGCAGTAGTGAACAGATGTTGAATACAGATATAATGCGCAGTAGTGAACGGAACGTCTATCGGCAGCCAGACAGTTCGCACTCTGTTGCACGAGAGCATAGCAAAGATATATTAAAGAACCAGCTTTCTTAAAATTCTCTCTCGAAAACGTTGCTCTAGCTCTTAGACTGTAAATAAAAACAGCGAAATCATTATGGAAATGAAAAAATAAAAACACAAAAATCAAAAGCAAATCGTATATCCGAAAAACTGCGTAATTTTCTAACCAGTCGAAGTCTTTAAATTCAACCAATAAAATTAATACCGTATCGTCGTATCGTTTGACAATGGATGCATGAAAATCAAGCTTTATAAATGGTGTAACTATAGGCCAGTCATCTAAGACATTTAAAAAGGCAAACATCGCAAACGGGACTGTATCTATCATTTTTTAATATATTGTTAGGACCCATGAGACTAAGTTATGCCCAATTTTGCAACCCTCAAAACCCCGTGCTACTCCCGTGATACTTAACCAACCAAACCAAAAAACCTCAAAATTTTGGTACTTATTTCAGTTTTTTTGAAAAAACTACGTTAAGAAAGCGTTTTTCAAATTTAATTGTTCTATACTTTTATAAAGTGAACTAAATTTCCTACAATTTCAGCCCAACCCGAACCCTCTAGGCCAATTCGTTGTCGAAATACAGCCAATCAAATATCGGCTATTTTTTTGAAAAACTAAAAATGTATGAGTACGGTCACATTCCAAAGCACGTATCGCCTAAAATAATGGCTCTAGAGAAAAGTCATTAGGAATGAAGTTGTAGAGAATTTATTCAGCTTTAATTTGATGTAAGAATGAGGTCGCTAGGCGTCGTATTTTGCTCAAACACGAAAAAATTTTGTGAATGAGCTAGAACCATATCCGCTGTCCTTTTTCACTCAAGAAGGAATGCGCAAGGGTACTAAATCTTCCTTCTATTCAGCATTTACACCGGTCGCTAAAAACATTATCCCAGGAAACAAGGCGTTCACAGTGGTCGATGGTGGTTATCTCCTGCACAAGGTAGTCTGGCATCGAAATCATTCAGTCAGAGATATTGTGGCTGGATACGTCAGCTACGTTTTAAACAACTTTGGTAAAAATGTTGCAGTGGTTTTTGATGGATACCCAGAAGGTGCGGCTATGAAAAACACTAAATCAGCTGAACCTCTGCGGCTATCTGCTTCTCTTTCCTGTGGTGACATTTTGTTTGATGAAGCGACACTCATCAAAGTGCCTCAAGCAAAAGTGCTCTCATATGAATCGAACAAACGCCGACTGATCACCATGATGTGTACCGAATTTGAGATACAGGGTATCGAGGTACATCAATCACCAGAAGACGCCGATGCTGAGATAGTGAGAACTGCCCTCTCCAAGAGCTCATTGTACGACCAAGTTTTTTTTCATGGGGGAGGATGTTGATTTACTGGTTCTCCTAAATGGCTTGAGCTGTGGACAAACAAACGTCTACTTCCAGGAAGGCGGTAGAGGTGGATCTGAGTGCGCTCAATATGAGGCAAATTCTTTCTTAAGTGGAAAAATGCAGCTTCCAGGAGATATGGTTTTGTTTCTGCATGCAATCAGTGGGTGTGACACCACTTCTGCTCTTTTCTGGCAAGGCAAAATGAAGTGGTGCGAATGTCTACAAAAAATCTCCACTGGATAGACCTCGCCACCATTTTCTTTGATCCAAACTCGACGCAGGAAGAAGTAGGAAATGCTGGCGAGAAGAACCTCTATGTGAAGAACCTCTTGTTGAACCTCTATGGATCAGGGCACGCTGAACAGCATGGCATTCGTAAAATCGGCAGGAATGGCCAAACTAAACCTTGCCCGCCTCCCTCCAACTACAGAAGGTGCCAAATATCATTTTTGGAGAACCTACCACCAGGTCCAAAAATGGTTTGGTGGTCGAGAAAAATCCATCCGACTGAGAATGGACCACCAGTCAACAGGGTCTTATGCCAATAACTATGCATGCTCCTCAAAACCTGCTTAAGATGGTTGCTTACAGATGCAAGAAAGGCTGCATAGGATCCTGCACTTGCAGAAAAGCAGGACTGAAGTGCTCCATCCTCTGTTCCTTTTACCAAGGGCGAAGCTGCAGCAACGTTACTCCCATGATCTTGGATGAGGAGGACGAGGAATTGGACGATTTAACATATGAAGACCCACCTCCATCGTCAGAGAATGGCCTTCCTCCTCCTCCTCCCCCCTCCCAACTGATCCGGAATGGATGGGGCCCGGTCCTTCTAAGAGGGCCAAGTAAAGTAGGGCTTTTGTATTATATTTTTTAGTTTATACATATTATATTTATGTTGTTTATTTTTAATTACGTTTAATAAAATATCTTTTCATGATACCCCCAAACTTCGATGTTTTACTATATTTTGGTTTTTGAGCAAAATACGACTCCTAGCGGCCTCATTCTTACATCAAATTAAAGCTGAATAAATTCTCTACAACTCTTCTCTCTTCTCATGACTTTTCACTAGAGCCATTAGTTTAGCCGATACGTGCTTTGTATATAATCGCTCGATATAACCGTACTCATAAATTTTTAGTTTTTCAAAAAAATTGCCGATATTTGATTGGCTGTATTTGAACAACGAATTGGGCTTAAATTATAGGAAATTTAGTTGACTTTATAAAAGTATAGAACAATTAAATTTGAAAAATGCTTTCTTAACATAGTTTTTTCAAAAAACTGAAATAAGTACCAAAATTTTGGGTTTTTTTGAGTATCACGGGAGTAGCACAGGGTTTTGAGGGTTGCAAAATTGGGCATAACTTAGTCTCATGGATCCTAACAATATATAAAAAAAACCGTAGATACAGTCCCGTTTGCGATGTGGGATGTCTTAAATGACTGGCCTACTAACCCTATTTTGTTTTATTTGTTTAGACTCGCATAACGTCAAATAAAAACTCCTTAATTGGAAAATTAGCGTTGCCATTTTCAAGAGGAAAAAGATACTTTCTGGAAATTTATGGGGTATATTTTTGTTTTAGATTTTTTTGGATATTACGCCAACTTCGATTTCAGTCAGTACGCCATATCGGTACGCGCAGGCGGTAGAGTTCTAGTCGAAGACTGTAAACAAGTGAAGGCGCCCAAAAACGATCCCAACCAGTGGAGATACATGTGCATCGAGGAACCCTTCGATTTCACCAACACCGCTAGATCGGTGTACGACATCGCAGCGTTCAGACACATCAGAACCGTCATCGCGAAGACCTACGAAGAATTGCTGAGAACGAAAATGTTGAACAACGTACTACCCGTCGCTTTCAGCCCAGAAACGTCTCTAGTCATGTAGAATCGACCGTAGGAATTGAAGACGGAATTTTATAGGTGGATTTGATAGTAAAATTGCAAAAGAACACACGATAAAAAGGTAATACAGTTCATTTATCTTCGATTGATATTACCAGTAGTTCAAATGTATCACTTACTATTTCACCGGCAAAAAAAACTATTTCAGATATGCAGGCATATTTTTTTACTCACCATTTACGTTCTTGTGCAATATTTCGTCTAGCTTGCGTAATCCATCGTTTGTTGTTTTTGTTATCGCGCCTAAACGCATTGAAAAAGACTCTGTGGCATTTAAAGACTGTATTATATCTCCAGTATTTTTGTGTATGTATTCAAACACAATACAGACTGCCGATTGGTAACATTCGGATACAGATATACAAAGGCTGTTATACACATTAGTCAGATTTTGTGCCATTAATAAACTCGTCAATTTAATTATTTATAATATACAAATCACCAAAAAAATAGTTTTTAAAGTGTGTTGGAAAAAATATATATAATCTCAAATCATACAGCGTTAAATTTCTAAATTAGTACTATTTTACATTTAAAATGCTTCTAAACAAAGTAGTAACAAAGTACATAACTATTTTTAGTATACAAGGTTTGTCAAAAAGTTGTGAAAATATTTATTCAAATTTAAAAAGAAGTTTCTGCGGAATTTCTTCAGTATACCCAAAAAATTATTTTGACATATATTATGACATTTATCCCAGGACATATGGAAAAATATTTTTAGTGGTTACGCTGAAGAAATTCCGCATTAATTTTTTCACAATAATACTAAAACATTGTCAATATTTAAAAAGTCCGTGGATGAGTATTGAAACGCATTGTTTGAGTTTTGCAAAAATCATATTATCTTTTTCGTTTTATGTGATTTATTTATGTATTGTGATGTCTCTTTAAGTTCAAAAGTTCCTAAAAAAATTATAAAATCTCAAAATCTTGAAAGTGAAACATTTATAAAAACACCACTTTCAAGTTAAAAAAATCAGTATTTTTATATTTAAGTTTTCGGTAGGTACTTAAGTTTATTTGATATTATTTTCTATTGTAATAATGTATACACCCACTACAAAGTTGTTATATATGTATTTGTCTGTTAAGTTGAAGCAACAGTTTGAAGAAGTGACGAAAAACGGTTTTTTGTTAATACGTCACTTATTCTAGCTTTTCTTAATATATTAATGTTAAATAGTGAAATAATATAATCATTCAAGTATCTACAGTAGTTATTGAGTAAGTGTCAAGAATATATATCATAATAGTAAACTTGATAATAAAAATGACAGAAGACAGGCCTGAAACCTGCCAAAATATCTTTAAAATAATAATAATAAACGATACATATCATTGTGGGGCCGTTAATAAACTAAGTTATATCTAAGTAGATTCTTATAGCAACGATAAATGTTTTTTTTTTCCTTATTTGGTAATATATATCAAGTAAGGAAATAATTATTAAAATGTATAAATGTGATCTTTTCTCGTTTTTGATGTAGAATAAATAATAATTAATTCAATTAAAAAAAACACAAAAAAAAACTAGATAAGAATTTAAAAGAAAAGAAAATGGTATATTTAAAATTTGCGGTATTTAGTAATATATTAATCAAATAGTGTATTTTTCTGGTTAAATATACCATTGCCTTTTTTAATGTATGTCTCTCTATATTAATATTTGTTTAGATAATAATAAAAATCACCTTTTGATAATAATATGAAAACAATAATACTGTTAAAAAAGTATAGGTTATTTTTTTGGAAAATCTTTAACATAAATAGAATAGCTGAAATATATCGTAGAGGAACATCACACATTTCAATCGTGATTTTTTTTATTTATGTGATCTCAGTGAACGACTAGTTTTTTAGGAATGAGTTACTACCGTAAAGTTGTGGCCATGAATATTAAACCTACCCAAAGAAAGTCATTAAAATATTATATAATTCTATATAGGGTAACGTATTTAATAATATCTCATAAAATTTGGATATTTTCGATTTTAAAAATATAAAGAAATAAATTTGGGAATTTCTTTATTTTTTTTACATGAAAATATTATTCTAAAAAGGGATCAAATTTCGTGAAGAATTATTAAAAAACTCTAAAATAGTTCAAAGTAGTTCAATCGTACGAGTGTGAATCGAAATAACATGATTTTAGTCATTGGTGCCAAAAAATATCTATTAATTTGATCATTAACAAAAAGTTAGACTATATTAAAATATCTAAATTACATGGTTGTGTCAAAGAATAGCAGTTAAAAAAAATAAATGAATTTATAAATAATGCGAAAGTTATACTCTATGGCACGTCCTCTTTATTATACAGACAATATTATAAAAATCGAATACAATAATCATACAATAAAGAATTGAAAATATGTATGGTGAATCTCTTTAGGTTGTATTAAATTTAGATATTAAAGTTATTATTTATGTCAAATTAGGTGTCCAATCAGCTTTCTTAACCTATTATTTTTCGATATATATATATTTATACATTGTTATTGTGTACACTTTTGTAATTGTTATGATTAAGAGTATGAATTTATACACGCTGTTGGATACCTACTGTCAAAATATACTGTACAGGCCAATTTATTATAGTATACAGGTTGTTGCAATTACGTCTAAACGGTTACATATTTACAGACACTTTTTCTTGCAAATTATTCAGTACCTCATATAGAGCAGGCTTTAACAAGTAGGTATTAAAACTAGGATTAATCTGGATATTCCTTTATAGGGTATTTGCGTTTAAAAAGAAAATAAAAATTATAAAAATTCATAACCTTTTAGACGCAATCCTCCACCATATCTTCGATTCATTACCATATACAGGGTGTTTCAAAACAAATGCGAAAAATTTCAGGGGGTGATTCCTTGTTCAAAATAAAGGGTAGTTTGCTTTATAAACGTTGGGTCAAAAGTCAACCATTAGGGAGTTATCGCGGTACAAAGATGGCGGAAAAATAATGTTTTTATTTTTTATCTTGAAAACGAAAAATGATAGACTAATGAAATTTTATGGAAGCATTACTGTTATGAAAACATACTTTCTGGTAATTTTCTCACTTTTTTAAAATGAGTGGAAGGGGTTGAAATAAACTACCCCTATCATTCTTGTTAACGAAATTTAAAAAAATCTTATCAAACACATGCAAAAAAATTAATTTGGATAGCTTGGTATGTTTAGATACTTTTTTATCTCTTGTGTTTCTTTGATAAAACTCGCCGATTTGAAATTAAAAATAAAATGTAAAGCATTACATGTCAGGATAAAAAACATTTTTAGATAAAGAATCTAGTGATAATAACGCTAATAATAAGAATCTAGATAATAACGTATTGCAGTAGAGTAATGTCAATGAAATAATATTAGAAACATCCTAAAAAGTGACAGCGGCCCACTAGATTTTTTTCCTAAAAAATTAGAGCAGCCCACTAGATTCTTTATCTAAAAATGTCTTTTGTCCTGACATGTAATGCTTTACATTTTATTTTTTTAATTTCAAATCGGCCAGTTTTATCAAAAAACACAAGAGATAAAAAGTTTCTAAACAAACCAAGCTATCCAAATTAATTTTTTGCATGTGTTTGATAAGATTTTTCTTTAAATTTCGATAACAAGAATGATAGAGGGTAGTTTATTTCAACCCCTTCCACTCATTTTAAAAAGTGAAAAAATTACCAGAAAGTGTGTTTTCATAACAGCAATACTTCCATAAAATTTCATTGGTCTATCTCTTTTCGTTTTTAAGATAAAAAATAAAAACATTATTTTTCCGCCATCTTTGTACCGCGATATCTCCCTAATGGTTGACTTTTGACCCAACGTTTATGAAGCAAACTACCCTTTATTTTGAACAAGGAATCGCCCCCTGAAGTTTTTCGCATTTGTTTTGAAACACCCTGTATATATAAACATTTTGTGAAACACACCTTTATAGACATTATAACTCTTTTTATGTTCTGGTTGTAACTGGTTATAACTGTATATTTATTTTTGTTAATTATAATATTTTGACTTGTACTGTAATAATAAAATGTATCTTTATGTAATAAGACTTTTCAGCATACTCCAAAAATTTTCAAAGGTAAAGTAAATTATGCTTAAATACTTTCGTTTTCAAAATTTACAAAACTTAATATACATTATAGAAAAAAATTGTACTTTTTAACAAATATTTTTACGAATAGAAAAGTCTGGATAGATTTTTTCTGTTTTTGGAAAAATCTTTACAGATTCAAAACAACAATGTATTTTTCATGGATAATAAATTTTTCAATAAAGAAACTAAAACTGCCAGGTTATTTAATTTTTGTTGTCCTTACTAAAATCCTTGTTTATATATACAAGGCTAAAATGAAAAATACTTCTTTAGGAAATATGTTTTAAGTAAAATAAACACATTCTTTTTTTAAACAATGATATATTACTTTAAACAACACGGGAAAATAACAATAACTTTGGTGTAAATACCTTTTCAGGCATTTATTGCTAATAGCATAATGTACATACATAAATTATAACAAATTTAAATAAAATTAAAATACTACAATACATATTCATAGAAAATGTTTTAATTCTTACCAATTTTACGTATGTTAAAAAATATATATTAGTTGTGTTTTTAACACTATAAATATTACAACATTGAACACATTGTATAATATTAATATTGTAATGTTAAATCAGGTACAATAATATCTAAAAAGGCACATATCTTCATTATTTTGAAGAGGAGAATTTAAATGATTGATTTCAATTGGAGTAAACGAGTCATTGCGGTTAGAATAATAAGGTGTTCGTAACATTGTTGAAATCTCTAAAGAAAGTAACGCATGATCGAAAAATAAAACGGCATTAATAAATCAAAAAAAAATAAAATTTGCACTCAAGCCACAGTGTAAGAGCGCTTTCACACACGCCGGCAAAATCGGTGCCGGAGCTGAAATCGATTGCAATATAAATAAATTAGTAGTGATGGGATAACTCGAGCGAAAATTCGCTCGGGTACTCGATTATTGAAATAAACGAACGCAAGCGATCCTAGAATGAAATAAATTAAAATCCGGTTTTAATGTGACATATTCGATAAAAAGCCGAGCGAATTTTCTACATACATTGCAGGTAGCAAATTTATACGACGCCGTATATACAGGGTGTCCGAAAATTAATGCAACAAAATTTGGTCATAGATTCTTGAAAATAATGGTGACCCGTATTTTTTTTAGCCAGTGGCCCCCTTTTCGGATTTACAGACCCCTGAGTTTCGCCCCTAAAAAGAGTTTTTTTTAATATCTCAGGGCGCTGTTAGACGAAAAGTTGTGGAAACGAGTTGTTTGTGAATTTGTACGTTCGGCATCATTCGGATGAAAATCGAAACTCCTTCGGCTCGATACGTTTGCGTTTTGTACATACGTAAAGGCACGTAAAGATACGTATCACGTATCCGTAAACGCAAGTGAATTTCTCACTGCGCAAGCGTACATGTCAAACGATACGTTTACGTCTACGTCTTTGGCCGTGCTTTAACTGTCTAATGTTGTTCCAAATTTACTGTGTGTGTATATTTTAAAAATAATTTTTATTAAAAAAACAGTGGCGTACCATTTTTTTCTTCAATAATATTTAGTTTAAATACCGTAGGGACGCCACTGATGAAAATAAAAAAAAAGTTAATAGCATATCAAAAAATGTCATTTTATGGTAAAACAACGTGTACCAAATTTGGTGATTTTCGTCCAACAGGGCCCTGAGATATTTAAAAAAAAAACTCTTTTTAGGGGCGAAATTCAGAGGGCTGTAAATCCGAAAAGTGGGGCCACTCGTCAAAAATAAAAAAAACGGGTCACCTATTTTTTTTCAAGAATCTATGACCAAATTTTGTTGCATTAATTTCCGGACACCCTGTATATTTATCCGTTGCGTATCTGAGGGAGAAAATTTTACGACCTACATCGACAATGCTTTGAAATAAACTAAATCAAGCGAATCGCTCGTCGCTTGCTACTTGCCATTCATCACCGAAAGAATATGTGCCCTGCGCACGCAACTTACTGCTTAAGCGACGGACGAAAAACCGTATTTTTAAATACGAGTGATATTTCGCTCGAGCGATCACTCGGTTATTGCAATCGCCTTGAAACTCGAGTACACGATTATTGAAATTAATTGGTTTTCCCATCACTATAAATTAGCTTCTTCACAACTGTCAGAAGGTGTGCAAAGCCGGCGCCGGCTCCGGAACCGATTTTGCCGGTGTGTGTGCAAGAGTCTAATTCAGTTTAAAAATACAGGGTGTCCCAATATTCCGTGGACATAGAACTACTACGTATTTTTAGCATCAAAATAAGTTCATTGGACACAATTTACCTCTATACAAAAGTGCTTATTTTGTCCGCCAGAGAGAGAGCTTTAAAAAAATTAACACATTTTTTCAGATATTTTAAGAACCGTTATTACGATTTGAATGAAATTTTGAGTGTCATGTTTTGCTAAGTGCTTTAATATTTGACTTTCGCAAAAATCAAGAAAAAGTACGGGTATGGTAAAAACTTTTTATTGTTAATCTAAGGTAAAAACTCCCCCACCCCTGCATAAATTTAGTATATTTTCCAACTCAACCTACGACCGATTTTTTTTTTCGTAAAATGGTCGTAGGTCAAATGGTATGGTCGTTCTAGAATTTACATTTTTTGACTCTTGTAAAAAAACCGCCACCGCGCATACCTTTTGAAGAAAAAAAAGGTCCCAAAAAAACATTTTTTGTCACATCACACCCTGTATATTTACTTCGTTTTCATACTTCTGAGAAATATGGCCAGGACACCATTAAAGTATAAAAAAATATCGCGAGAACCAAATGTAAAATTTTTCAAAAAATACCAGGAGTAAAAATACCAAAGGTGATAAAAATAAAAAGATAAAATTGTCATATTTTTTGAACGTCAGTGTCAAAGAATACATATAATGTGTCCAACAAGAAAACGTGTCAGTGACAGGTGTCTGTCGTTTTAATTGGAAATTGTTTTTTTCTGTCAATAATTGGATGAATGACAAAATTGTCTTTTCTCTTGCTGGACAAACTTTATAAAAAAATATTTCAGTATCTAACATTAACAAATAATAGGTAAAATATAAAGTAATTCTGCAAAAAACACACAAAACATTAAAAAAAACATACAAAAGCCCTATACACCAGAAGATCCAGCTTGCAGATCCGGCCTTCGGATTCAATCTTTGCATTTGTGGCTCAGACCAAGTCTTTGGCAGGCCAAGCCTTCGGCGGGCTAATCCTTTCACAGGTCAAATCTGAAGACTTGGCCTGCGAGATTATATGTGTCTAAAAAACTATTACTAACTATTTACGCCAGCATTCATTTATTTTAAATTTAAACTACTAATTATTGTACTTGGCCACGGAGTACAATAATAGTCGTGAAACATTTAATAATTTATCTTAAGTCTATTTAGTAAATAATTATTATATTAATCATTAACAATGAATAAAAGATCAACTCTTATTTACATATATACAGTGTGTCCCACAAAGCAACAAAAGTTACGAGTTGCTTATTAGGTATATCAATCCCTGTGATACAAAAAATAATAAAACTATAGGCTTGGTGCATTCTCCGCCGGTACTGCCACCATCGGAGAATATCGTACACAACTAGTACTTACACGGGTTTAAATAGCGAAAATACGAAAAATGTATTATTTAAGGAAAGTGTTAGGAAGTATAATAATTTATGAAAATTCTAAAAATAAAAATAAAAAAGTAAATATTTTGATATCTTCAGAAGGTCTAACTTGTATTATAATTTATTCCAGTTAAAAAAACTTTTTAGATGAGTTCAACTACGGTAGCGAGCATAGTTTTAATCACCGGTTTTGCTAGTGGGGCATAATTGAGGCTATTTCGGCTATAACAAAATTTTTTAAAGGTTCATAAGACATTTATAATCACTAGTCGATTAAAAAATTTATACCATTAATATTGCCAAATTATATTTTATCCTTTCATAGTATATGTCTATATAATTTTTTGATTATGTAACGAGCACTTTGTTTACTCACTTGTTTCGTCGAACTGCTTGAATCCATTTTTGCTTTTGATCAAATCGGTGTGAAAACTATGAAGCTATAAAATGTTGTTTCGGGAGAGTCAATATCCGGGAAAGTTGAGTTATTGAATGTTATTGCACCCAACAACGCCCTAATTATGCACTCTCCTTTACGCGTTAACATATTTTCGGCAATTTTATTAACATTTGAAATTGTCACAACACAACACGACGCCTATTTGGATTTCTTTTTCACTTATTTTTTACTACCCGAAACAGCGTTACGTCACACAAACCTCGTACCTGAGTGTTTTGTAGTCTCAATAACTGCACTAGCAAAAAACTAAAATACTTAAATATTATGACAAAACCACGATTTCAATATTATTTTAATGCGATCAACATGACGGCGCGGCGGAGTGAAATAGATACTGATAATTTCTGATTTTTGCCGTTGAAGCGCTGCGGTCGGAATTTGTTGAAATCAACTGAAATGCACCAAGCCTATTATAGTAGTAGGTCTCTCTTACACAATATAATACGTTTTCGGTTGTTGTTCATTCTTAAAAAACATAGACGAACGCCGAACCTATTAAATATGAGTGATTAAAACTTCCAGAAATTTTAAAAGATTGCGAGCCAGACCGAAACTGCTACAAAACGTCGAAAGATCTAATCGGCAGGCCAAATCCGCAGGCCGGGCCTTCTGGGGTATGGGGTACTAATCATTTTGTATCATAGACAAAGCTGAAAACATGACGAATAAATTTGAAAAAACAACTTAACCGTATATATAAATAAATCACACACCAAACACTGAAATCTTATTTAAAAAAACTAAAATTACTTATTTGGTTAAAAATATCAACAGCCTCTGTACTATTATAGTTTCAGTCACACCAAAAACTGAAATATGACTATAATAAAATAATAAAATTATTTATTTAAAAAATATCTACAACCTCTATACTAATACACTTTAATGACATTCCCTGTGGACAGTTACGTTCACCTCCTCTTGAGATGGATTTGAATGACAGTCAGGCAATTGTTCCTGCGAATTTGATGCACTTTCTAAAGGAGGTGTAGATTGTGAAGGTTCTCCAGTAAACGCACTAACATCTATGTATTATAACCATTAAAAAACAGTTAAAAAAATCGATTTAATAAGATATGATATGGTTTTGATAAGGATACCAGGTAAAAAAGGTGACCAGGAAAAGGATTTAAAACAGGACATCATATTTCTGGGAGGTGCCAGGACTACCAATAGTGGATTTTTCTAAAATTATGAATCATTCAAATTAACAAAAAAAAAATGCTAGATACAGGGTCCGGTAATAGTGCATCGGGCATCTGTAGCTTCTAGAATAAAAAATATTTGAAATTTTGTTTAAGTACAAACCTAAAGTAAGTAGGTACCGAGGTAGGTACTAAGATGTATTTCGGGAAAACATTATTTTAACCTCTACAGGGTGACTCGAAAAAGTGTGAGTGGATATGGATGATTTTTTTAATGAACCCTTTATATATTTTTTTAATAGATGGAATATTAAAAATGATTTTTTTTTGTATGATGAGTATTTCAAAATTTTAACGTTTTCGCAGATATTTGCGATTTTATATTTCATATGGCATTTCCACAGTAAAGTTTAATCAAAGCCAACCAATGATTTTTCTCGCATATTTTACTGTTGAAAGCGCCATATGAAATAATACTGCGTGTATCCGGAAAACTATTAAAAATTTTGAAATACTTTAAAAATACAAAAAAAAAATTTTTTAATTCTCCATCTAATAAAAAAATAATATACAGGGTGTTCCATTTAAAAAAAAACGAAGAAAAATTATTTTATATTTTAGAAAGTTTGGTTTGGTTTGGTTTGATTTAAGATTACGATTATTTATAGCAAAGTAAGTATAGACCATCTAAAGTAAATACCTAATATAGTTTTGAATTCAGGACAATTCTCGTATTTGTAATAATTTTTTTAAAGAAATATATACAGGGTGATTTTTAACCTATACGCGTAAACTTGGGAAATTATTGCTGATGACAAATAATGACTAAAAATGAAAAAAAAAGTTAGTAAAATATTTTTATTTACGGAGATAAACTATTTGAAATAAAAACAAAAAACGCAAATTCCATAAATTGAATGTGCACTAAATATTTTTATTTACGGAGATAATAACTATTTGAAATAAAAATAAAAAACGTAAATTCCATTAAATTGAATGTGCATTTACTGATAAAGTTGATAAATTTTTGTGAAAAAACTCAAATTATTTCTGAATCTAAAAATATTTTACTACCATTTTTTTTCATTATTAGTCATTATTTGTCATTAGCAATAATTTCCCAAGTTTATTCGTATAGGTTAAAAATCACCCTGTATATTTTGTATTTACTTATTAATATCTCTGAAACTATCAAAACATATTTAAAAATATTTTAGGATTATGTAAAGTGATCAGAAAGGAAGCCAAAAATGCAATAATATACAGGATGTTCTATTTAAAAAAATAATTCCGATCCACTCACACTTTTATGAGCCACCATGTAGTATCTGCAAAATTGTTAAAAATTTTGTAATATTCTAAAAACAAAAAATTTTCATTTTTTAATTCTCCACCTATTAAAAAAATAATATACAGGGTGTTCCGTTAAAAAAAAACCAAGAAAAATTATTTTGTATTTTAGTAAGTTTGGCGTAGAATTTTGAAGACCCTGTATGATTTAAGATTACGATATTTATAGCAAAGTAGGTACAGACCATCTAAAGTAAAGGCCTAATATAGTTTTGATTTCAAGACCCTTGTATTTTTAATAATTTTTTAAAAAAGGCCGAAAAAATATTTTTTTTATTTATTTATTAATATCTCTAAAAGTATCAAAATATATTTTTTAAGATTATGTAAGGTGATCAGAAAGAAAATCAAAAATGCAATAATATACAGGGTGTCACATTTAAAAAAAATAATTCCGATCCACTCACACTTTTATGAGCCACTCTGTAGGCTTTAAAATATTTTCCTGAAATACATCTTCGTACATACTTCAAGTATGCACTTAAACAAAATTCTCAAGTTATTTATTCTAGGAACTATTGATACCTGACGCACTGTTGCCAGACCCTGTATAAGTTTTCTCAATAATTTTTTTTCAAACAGTTTTTAATTGAATGGTGAATGATTTTATCATTGCCAAGCCAAACAAAAATCTTACCTGTTTCTCCACATATTTGTGTGCAATAAGTTTCTCTAATAATGTGGCAATTTTCTAGATTGATTTTCATAAACTTCTGGCCAAAAATAAAATAACCAAATCCACCTCCTATTAAAGCTGATATAAAAAGCCACGCATCATAGAGCATAACAGACAACATTATCAAATATCCAATATTTTGTAACAAGACCCATAATGAAACTTCTGTTCCAAACAAGAGTATTCTAAAATGGAATTTAATTAACTAGGTATTAATTTATTAAAAATAATAAACATGTAAAAGTAAGACCAGAAATGTTTATATATCAAATAAAGTAATTTTTAATTAACTTTAATACATTAGTCTAACATAAAAGCTATCAATTTATTTAATTTATTAAAATTATTAAAATATATATAAAAATAAAACAAGAATGTTTACCTATCAAATAAAGTAATATTTAAAGGATTTCTAGGATTTGTAATTGTTTTTGCCAGTAATGTAGCACTTTCTGTAGGGCATAATTGCTTAATTTGTTTCGCTCGTAGTACAAGTTCCCTTTGCTTACTTTTTGTCTGTAAAAATCTGAAAAAATATAACTTCAATATTATTCTATAACAAACATTTCAACATCATTATTTTATTTAAAGACAAATAATTATATAAAAACTGCATACAAAAATATTGTACTTATTACACGACAATCTGGTCATATTATCTCACCTTAGATATTCAAATATAAACGCCATAACTCCTACAAAAACACATACTGCACTTAGAGCTCCAGGACTTTTAACGTCTATACCTTTTATTAAATAAGTCCCTAGGGCACTGCTAAAGAAAAAATATTGTTCATGCATTTTAAAATGTGTATAAACCGTTTATTCACTGTTTGCTGATGGTAAATTCATTGCAATAACACTTCACATTGTTCGATATGAATTTTAAGTGAAATTGTTGGTTCAAAGACTGAAATGATAAATGTGGATAAATGATAAGTTTTCAGATAATCAGCTGTTCCCTTCAAATTCAAAACACTGTTGTTATAACACAAATACCTATAGAAACTTTAATTAAACATGTTCTATATATTTCTTAGAATCACGACCATATGTTTATAGAAGTAGAGAAGTAAATATAATTATTTATTTATATATTTATGTGATATTTATATATAAAAATTAATAAATTAGAAAAATAAATAAATGAATACTATATAGGCAATACAAATGCAAGGGTGTATTTGAAGTTGCATATATTTGAAGTTTCATTCCAATATTTTTAATGTCAAATGTAAACACGTGTGTCACTTTTTAAATTCATCAACTAGAATTTTTTTTATTCATTATGTCCAAGAGAAAAAGTGCCGAAGTAATAGCTTTAAATAAAGATGAACAGAAAAAGGTTTCAAAACAAACAAAGAAAATTAAAAAGGCTATTCAGGTAAGTAATTTATTAGCGGTACTTCAAAAGATAACCTAAAATATATTACTAGGAAGGAAACATTTCTGTGAAGGATAAAAAGAAAGAACTAAAAATCAAAGCAGAACAAAATAGGGGACTTATCTATATTGGGCACATTCCGCATGGTTTTTATGAGGAAGAAATGAAGGAATATTTCAAGCAATTTGGTAGAGTTACTAATGTTAAAGTTTGTCGATCAAGAACAACAGGAAATAGTAAAGGATATGGATATATAGAATTTGCACATCCTGAAGTAGCTAAAATTGCTGCTGATACAATGAATAATTATGTTATGTTTAAAAAACGGATAGTGAGTAAGTATTTGTAAAATAAACATATTTATTATTCTACATAGCTTCGTTTTTTTAGCCGAATTTGTTCCCTTTGAGAAACGTCCCAAAGGTTTATTTTATGGAAAATCTAGCTCAAAAGATAACACTTCTGTTAAGACACGAAGAGGTAAACAAAAATATACAAAAAATAAGGTACTGGATGACCAAACAGTGGTAAAAAAACAGAGGAAGACCCTCAAAAGAGTGCAGTCAAAACTCAAGAAGCTTAAAGAACTTGGAATTCAATGTGACATAAAACCAGTAGGAATAGACAATACCTCATTAGGGGAAACATTAATAAAGAAATCTGAAGATGACAGTGATTCTGAAGTTGAGTTTAAGAGACCTGATGCGAAAAAGCTTAAGTCGCAAAACGGCTCTAAAACTTCAATAAATAGACTACAAAGTGAGAGGGCAGTCCTTACAAAATCACTGGACTCAGTTAAGAAAATATTATCGAAGAAATCTATTACCAAAACTCAGACTGAAGAAACTCAAACTGATCTTCCTAAAAAGAAACAAACTAGGAATATTAAAAAGACTATTAAGAAAGAGAAGAAACCATTGCCTTTGAACAAAGAAACAGTGAAAAGAATTGCAAGAGAACTTATAAGGAAAAAGGGCAATCCTTTGCTCCACCTAGTTTCAAACAAATCAATTAAGAAAAAATCATAAGTGTCAGAATAAATTTGTTTCATAAAAATTGTTCTTTTTTTTTTCAATAGTCCCACTTAGTTCTATAAGGGTTCTATCCTTGTTTAGGTTATGTTTATATGGTTCTATGTACTGATATTTCACAGGCATGCATTGCTCATACTTTCATTATTTTCAAAAGTTTAATCAAAATAAATTGAATTTCAAATAAATAAATCAAATGTAGTTATAAAAATGTCAAATTCTTAATCTATTAGGTTTAAAATATTTTCCAGGTAATTGAGAATGCAAACTTTAAATACAGATAACTTTCTATATTATCGGTTCTTTAAATAAACAAAGTTATTTATTTGAAAATTGATTTTTTTGTTTGTTTCTGTATAAAACTGATTATCACGCTTTTATCACTTATAAAAAGGATTTATCTCTGGATTTATTTTTCTATCACAGAATTATACACCCTAATTCTGTGCTTTCTATACTGCACTCATTAGATTGGAAAGCCCTTATTCAAAGGGAAAGCCCCAAGGATACTATATAGAATATATACAGTCCTTGGGAAAGCCCGTAAAAATTTTAGGTCGCGATCTGGCGCTGCTATAGCGGTCGCTAAGAACAACGGCAAACAAAAACAGAAATAATTTTTCTCTTGTCAAAGTCAGAATCTTCAAAAATCATAATAATCTTTCAAAATCTAAACCGCTCTCATTAAAGAAATTCCGAAAAGTGTTTATAGCGTCCATTTTCAAAGTAATTATTGCTATCTTGTGAGTTTAATTCAAGTTTTATTTACTCCAACCGGTGATAATTGTAAAAAGTGGCATTAAAAACTTAAAAGCTGTGCTGTGAACTGTGAACTGCAAAAACCATCGTGGATCGTGGCATAACGTCGGTTTCCGATGTTTCATAGGTATTTCATACATGCGTCCTTATATAAAATAAAGTTTCTTGTATGCAACACACTGTATTTTATTTATAAAATTAAACGAAAATAATAATAAATTTGAATAAACAATATTTGGCGATATAATTCCGGAAAAAGCCGAACCGCTCCGAAATTTTCAAAAGTTTTGGGTCGCGACCGTTGCAAGAATAGCGCCAAATAGTGTTTACATTGTCCTTATGGGCACTTTCCAATCTAACTGCACTGACATAAGTCTGAAATATAATCTAATAATTTTAATAAATCTGCAGGAATGTAATGCATGCCAACCCTGCTAAGGTATTTTACCTATAGAATATGATTTTACCTGCCATTTTTTAAATAAACCAATAAAATTCACACAATATTAGGGACTATTGATACGCGACTTCCAAGAATAGTATGATATTTACAGAACATGCTGATATTCTAAATGACTTTATAAAAACTTAAATACAGGGTGTCCCACTATTCCGTGGACAGAACTACTATGTATTTTTGGAATCAAAATAAGTTTATTGGACACAATTTACCTCTATACAAAAGTTTAAAATAATAAACAATTTTATTCAAATATTTTAAGAATCTTTATCCCGATTTGAATAAAATTTTGGGTGTCTATGTTTTGCTAAGTGCTTTAACATTTGACTTTCACAAAAATCAAGAAAATTACGGGCAAGTTGAAAACTACCCCCACCCCTACATAAAATTATTAGTATAAGTATTTCCAAACCAAACTCAACCGACGACCGATTTTTTTGTAAAATGGTTCCTCTAGTATTTACTACATTTTTTGTCTTGTAAAAAAACGCCGCCACGCATTGCATAGTTTTTGAGAAAACATTTTTTGGAGAATTTATTTCTCCAAAGCACACCTACAAAATAACCAGGAAGTTAAAATATTCCGGGCACATAAAACAAAACTATTTTTTGAATTAAAATAAGTTATAATTTACACATGCACATAATTTATACCTACCTTTATACAAAAGTGTCTCGTGTCCGTTATAGAAGGCATCAATAAAAAATAAACCCATAAACCCAAAGCATAAACCCGAACGTTAATTAATTTATAATTTATTATTTTTTTTTTTTGAAGCTTATATACTGTCAAATAGGGAATGCAATCCCGCAAATGCTGGATCCCGCAAATGCGGGATCCCTCTGAGATTCCGCGGGATCAAAGTTGCGGGATTTACCGTGCGGGATCCGCGGGATCGACCCATTACAACTGGGTAACCGAATCGATCTCGATCAGGGTCAAACCGTTTCGTTCCGGGCCGATGCGTGGACGGTCGGAACCCGGGGGATTCCCCTTACGGCTTGGCCATTAAAAATAAGTGAAACAAACTGGTTACTTGTTAGATTTCTTTCTGGCGTATGTGCGTAAGTGAAGAAAAGCGTTTAACTAGTACTGGTGGACAATTTCGTCAAATAAACTGCCGGACATATGTAATTATCGGGACAAGCAAAATTTTATTGTAAATTTTTTAAGTTAAATAGGTATCTCTGGAACTAAAAAAAGATTTTGTGATGCGGTTTGGATCATCAGTCAAATATAATTTATGGTATTAACAGTATTAACATAAAATTTCATGTTTTCGCCAACTATTATTAGAGCATAATAGATTTTATTCGCCCCCGCATATAGCTTGATGTGACAAAAAACATTTTTTGGGAGTTATCAACTTCGGAAATTTTTTTTTCTCAAAAAGTATGCGCGGTGGCGTTTTTTTACAAGAGTCAAAAAATGTAGTACATACTAGAAGGACCATTCTACGAAAAAAAAACGGTCATCGGTTGAGTTGGAAAAAATTTAAATTAGAATGTATGTAGGGGTGGGGGTGGTTTTAACCTTTCCCGTACTTCTTCTTGATTTTTGTGAAAGTCAAATATTAAAGCACTTAGCAAAACCTAATTCAAATCTTAAAATATCTGAACAAAGCACTTTTGTATAGAGCTAAATTGTGTTTAATGAACTTATTTTGATTCCAAATATACGTAGTAGTTCTATGACCACGGAATATTGGGACACCCTGTATGGTGGAAATTATAAATGTGTCGAAAATTCTATCTTATCTTAGCTCTTTGATTATTTATCTATTATCTCTCTTTTTTAACTAGATATTCACTGTACCCTGTACTTCATCAGCGTTATTCTTTTATTATATTAATATTTATTTTAAAATTTAATATAGAATTCCTATGTTTTAAATCTACTAGGTATAGATTAGAGATGACGGGAATTTGACAGGAATCTCAAAAGCGAAAAAATGCTGGAGCAGCATTCCATTAATTATTGTTAAAAAAAAGTTAATGTGCGCGCTCTATTGCTCGCATATTGAAAAAAATATTCATTAATAACAAAACTGATATATGGAGCTTTTTCTGAACAGTGCGTCACCCTGTACATAACAACCGTCATCTTGTAAAGATTTATATTCAGATACATTAGTTATTGTTATTATCATAATAATGACGGCATGGATATCTAAGGTTTTGGGAGATAGAATTAAAGACATCAACAAAATTATAATAATTATTTATTGGAAATCAACAATTTGACCACTGCAGATAGATGATGCCAATAAATATATAATTTTAATTAAACCTACACACATACATTTTATATAAAATTATCATTACAAACTTAAATTTAAAAGATGTTACATTATTTATATACATACAAGCGCTTAATTAACACTTATTTTTAGCTTTAAACAATTTCTTTGATATTTGGCCGCACCTAGTACGTTTCCATTTCATCCTTCTGTTTTGGAACCATACTTTTACCTGTAAAAAAAAATTACTGGTGAAAATTTTTACGTCTGTAAAAATAATTCATATTAATATAGAACCGCTCTATCAGTCTGTATGGTATTTACGAAGCAGAATTTCCAAACAATAACGATATAAATAAATATCCATACCATCGAGAAAAAAAAACGGCGTCAAAAGATGGCTGGGGAATGACAATCGATGATAATTTTGACGAAGTCAAGCCCTAGACGTCACCAGTTTTATTTTTACGAGTACATAGAGTAAAAATGATTTTTAAATGGCGCAATTCGAGAAAAATATTTTTTTTGGAAATAGAGATTTGTTTGTCTGGGAACTGGGAACGTTCTATTCTTTTTTAATTAAATTTTAATTATAAGAAATTAGTGTTAATTTTGACAGGATTTATGTCAATAGAATTTCTGGGGTCCCTATTATCAGCATACTTTTTCCGCGCGAAAATTGCACTTCGATTAAAATTGGTACATTTCTCCAAAGTAGCTTTCTCGATGTTATTTTTTTATTCAGTAATTAACAATCACTAAACAACGAACTTCCTCATTTATATTTTTTGTCGTTAATAGGGGAAAACAAAATGGGGTTCCATATTACCACTGTGTTACCACCTTAGATTGTTACCACCCTTCCTCTACTTATACAGGGCCCGGCAGTAGTGCGTCGGGCATCTTAAAGTTATGAATTTTGTTTAAGTGCAGACCTAAACTAGGTATGTATTAAGATATATTTCAGGAAAATATTTTAATCTCTACAGGGTGGCTCAAAAAAGGGTGAGTGGATAAGAATGATTTGTTTTAAATTGAACACCCTGTATATTATTGCATTTTACGCTTCCTTTTTGATCACTTTACATAATCCTAAAGTATTATTAAGTATGTTTTGATAGTTTCCAAGATAATAAATAGGTAAAAAAACTATTTCTTTCAGCCTTTTTTCAAAAAATTATTAAAAATACAAGAAATGTCCTAAAATCAAACTATATTAGAATTTACTGTAGTTACTAAAAGGTCACTTTGCCACTTAGGGTATTGTATTACAAGTTTGTCGATTTACCCAGGTAAAATGTTCTGAAAGCGCTGTAAAATATGGTATAGGAAGACGATACCGGTAATATCGGTAATCGTAAAAAATAAATATACACTAGGCTAGAAGCCAGAAGCTAAATTAGCCAGAACTTGAAACGTGTTAGGCCGGTGGCGAAGATTTACTAGCACTGTTCAGTGTTCAGTTTCAGTTGACACCTTTATTACTATAGTAATAGATCTATTACAATATTTTCTTCTCTAACGCTATTAAAATATTCATAATTTTTATTATTGTTTGGAAGGAATTAGAGTAAATATTTCAAAATAGTGTTATGTTTTTCGTCGGTTCCGTGTGGAAAGAAAGTCACAATTTATTTAAACACTATTTATTTAACACTAATTAACAAAAACAATAACGATAAAAGACTTATAGAACTATTTACAAACGATTTATAACTAAGAATTTATTTTGAATTTTAGCGCGTCAACTGCACTGGTATATTTATAACTGCCCTCTCTAGGCCACAGCCGCCGACTTTTATACCAACAGCAAAAGAAATCTAGAATAGTCCATAGATCGTTAGGTGCATAGAGAAGGTTTTGAATGTTCTCGTATGTACTAGTCCATTCCAGTGGGACTCGATTCTTCTCGAACGAATGAATCATTACGGTGTCTATTCTTTAATGCGATGTTAAGGTCATCTGAGGGCGGGACATATAGTTAGGTTAGGTCGAGTCCACACGGGTCCGCAACACTGCCCCCTTCTTAGGTACATGCTCGTCCCGAGATGTACACGGTGAATGAAGGTATTTGCAAAGCTGGCCCTGGTACATTGAGAAGTCTGGTAGAAATAGCAGTCTACAGTTTTCTCTCCCGATCTCAGCTTTGGGTTGTAGCAGCAAACGAGGATCTCGATTCCCGTAAATCTGAACAAGACTTCAATCATGTTCCGGATTGTACGCCAACTCAAACCATCGAGTCCACACGCCAGCTTCGGAATGGCTAATCGTGTAATGTTGTTGTTTAGCAGGTTGTTGTTTTTCTTGACACAGATGACATTTCTTGGGGCTAAGTTTCAAACCAGAGCTCCCTAGTCGCTTGAAAACTTCTTCCAAATTCTTCAGATGATCGTCAAAGGATTTCCCAACCACTATGATGTCATCCAGGTACACTAAACAGGTTGTCCAGGATAGTCCCTTTAACACAGACTCCATTAGTCTCTCAAAGGTAGCTGGCGCGTTGCACAATCCAAAAGGTATGACGGTAAATTGCCACAGTCCGGAGCCCACCGAGAACGCTGTCTTCTCTCTGTCTTTCGGCGCCATGTCGACTTGCCAATATCCACTCTTCAGATCTAACGTAGAGAATATCGTTGACCCCGCCAGCGTGTCTAGAGTATCGTCTATCCTCGGCAGGGGATAACTATCCTTCTTGGTAACATTATTGAGCTGCCGATAATCAACACAGAACCTGGTGGTACCGTCTTTCTTCTTTACTAGTACTACCGGCGATGTCCACGGGCTGTTAGATGGTTCGATGACACCCTCTTCTTTCATTTCTCGAAGGATTTTATCAGCTTCTTCACGTTTGGCGAGCGGAAGTCTTCTCGGATTTTGTTTGATTGGTCGTGCATCTCCGGTATCAATTTTGTGTTGTACTAAATTGGTACGACCTCTCTGTCCTGCTTCTCCTTTATCAAACACATCTTGATACTTGATTATCAGGTTTCTCAATTTTCTTCTATTTTCGGGAGATAATCCTTTAACGTTTACTAACTCCTTCACCATTTTGTCCGGAATTTTTGAAGTCGAAACTTTGGAGGCTTCCACGCTTCGAACGACTGAGGAGACCGAACAACAGTACCCTAAGAGGGTTCCCTTCTTCAAGGATACAGAATAATAATTCGTGTTCATTACTCTCACCGGTACAGTTTTCTTCGCTCGTAGCAGGGCTTTTCCAACAGCGATCCCTCGTCCTATTTCGCTGTCATGGTTCCTTGGCTCCAACAGAATAATACTCCCATTATTCATTTTACCTTCTAGGCAACCATCCAAAAATATCTCACAGCGCTCAGGGATCGAAACATCTTCTGCTACCACCACGCGAAGCGTCTCCTCACATTTTCGATGCAGAACCACTTCTTCTTCATTTATTTTCAAAATTCCCTGTTTGAAGTTTAGTTCAAAACCTCTAGTGGTCATAATGTCCATTCCGAGAATAAGTTCATCTTCGATATCTGCTACTAACACTGGATGTTCAAAACTGGTGCTCCCAATAACAAAATTAATGTTTACTTCTCCATGGACAGCAGCGGAGCCCCCCGTAGCAGTACGTAGTACGCCATTGTGTTTATCATTTAAAGCCATTGTGTTGTTTTAACCTTCTTCGATGTTTTAAGAATGTCCGGTCTGATGATAGTTTTCGTCGCACCTGTATCCAACAGCATAGTCCGGAACTCTCCATCAACAAAACCATCCACAAAAATGCTGTTGAATTTGTGTTGTAGCGAGGCGACTTGAGCAGTTTTCATTGGGGCATGTTGGGTACAGGTCGACGTGTGCCCCTTCATTTCGACCCTTAGTAGTTTTCCGACCTCGACGAAGTCGGTTCTTCGTTCTTCTCCTTACAACGGCTTCGCACGTGTCCTACCTGTCCGCAGTTCCAGCAACGAATCGGTCCCTTCTTGCCCATGTACTGATCCATTACTTTCCGAACAATCCCTTCCACGGATTCGTCGGAACATTCGTCGATGGCCCGTACTCTTCCTAAAGATCGAGAACTTTGTTTCGCGGCCTCGAATTCTAGGGCACGTGCTAAAGCATCCACCAAGTGCGTTGGGTGGGCTAGGAGAAGCGCTTGTCTTGTCTCGTTGTCACGTAAGCCGTCGGAGAATGCCTGTACTGCCAACCGCTCCATAACATTCTCGGGCGTAGCAGGGTACGCAAGGCGAACGAGACGGGCTACATCGGCTTCAAACTCCTGCAGAGACTCATTTGCCTTTTGAATGCGATTTTTTAGCTGGGAATGATAGACATGTTCCAAATGAGCTTAGCCGTACCTCATTTCTAAATGTCGCACAAATTGCTGATAATCTCCCTGTTCCGATGGTGACAGTGTCTGCAGGATATCAGTCGCATCTCCTCGCAGTGCGATAGTCAAAGCAGTAGCTTTTTCAGCAATTGTCCAGCCCTTCGCTCTCGCAGCGGCTTCAAATTGGCAAAAATAATTGGCCCAAGCGGTTTTTCCGTCAAACTGCGGAGGTTTCATAACTGATTTTGAGGCATACCTATTTTCGACTAGTTTCGGTCCCTCCGATGTTTCTTGACATTTTGGTGAATTCGACTTCGCTATTTCTTCTTTTAAAATTTCTATCTTTCTGTTTACATCGTCCTCAATTTGTGTTATTTTGTCTTGTAGCTCCGTTGAATTCTCTATAATCTTTTCTTCTAATTCCTTGTTGTATAAACTTTCTTCTAAATTAAGTATTTTATTATTAAAGCTGGCTTGTATGTCTTTAAAATTTTCTGCAATCTTATCTTCTAAAATATTCATTTTATCATTTAAAGTTTCTTGCAAATCCAGGGAATTTTCCATAATTTTATCACTAATTTTCTCTTCTAAATTAACTTCCAAGTCAATTATTTTACTATTTAAATTGTTCAAGTTGTCGTCTAATTTTTGTAAGAACGAGTCAAGGTCACCTTCCAGCTCAAAGCAAAATGTGTCAGGATCCTCACCTTCCTCAACCAAAACGTCTCTCAGTCTGGCTTGTAAAATACTTTTCTTTCCATCTGTTTCGCATTCCCTCTCTTCCAGTACGCATTTTAATTACGACACTTTCAAGTCTTTCATCAATTTTTTCGGAGCCATTGTCTGTCTTCTAATTTTTGAGAATTCTCTGTGATTTTATCACTGCCCTCTCTAGGCCACAGCCGCCGGCTTTTATACCAACAGACTTTGAAAGAAAACTTTCGACCAATGTGCATCACTACCAGTCATGACCTATGCATGCGAAACCTGGACACTTTAAGTCGCACAATACTCAATGGAATGAAATATGATGGGAATAACCAAAAAAGACCGTAAAAGAATAGAGTGGACTCGACAAAAAACCCAGGTAATAGATGTCATCCACAGAATCAAATCCCTCAAGTGGCAATGGGAAGGACACCTGGCAAGGAAGACGGACAACTGATCAAAACCTGAGATTCTGAGATGGGACCATGATATTCGGAAATTAGTAGGGATAACTTGGGCCCGCATAGCCAACCATAGACAACAAGGCCCAACTACAAAGAGAATATCTAAATATGTGAGGGAGGCTACACCAAAATTGGAAATGGTTGAATAAGCTGAAAATGATGTTGATGGTGATAAAATAGGTTAGTCTCGCACCAGAATTCGACTTGTTACATTACATAAGAAACGAATAATTGCCAGCCACACAAGTTCCAGTACACTTGTGCAAGTCTAGTTTAGAACGTGTGTGAAGATTTTATAGACTTGTGCAAGCCGCAGGAGAGTTTGAATTTTCAATTCCGAGACTTGTCCAAGTCTAGATTGCGCTAAGTCGCTAAACGAAGTTTTTACCACCTAGGCGGCTACAGACGTTCATGCATACTTGACAAGTGTACTTGTGCAAGCGTACTTGTATAAGTTTGCATTGACTCCACACAATACAAGCGCACTTGAATTGTTTTACTCTGGTTTTAAGTAGATAAAAATGGACGAAGAAGACGCGCTAGCTCTTGCGATGTTCGTTATTCTGCTTAAACAAAAAGAAAAAAAGAAAACCCGTCGATTTTGGTGCAAAAACTGCCTTCTAAAAAGGAATATTTATTCGCGTACTAATATTTTAAACGAATTGAAGTTTTACCCTGCTAAATATTTGTTCTTAAACTGTTTATTTTTTTACAATCGAATCGCGGTTTGCAGTTTTATCAGTTGCTTGCAATTTTGTAATTAAACTTTTATATGCAGCCTTGATTTTACTTCCCATAAACTAAGAGATTCTCTATAAATACCAATGAACTACACCAATACCTTGCGCATACTTTTTTCATGTTCACTAGCCATTTTTATCTATCTTCTGGTAACAAACAAATAAGAAACGAGCAATAAACCTACTAAAATCAACTTTAGGCTTGCGCAAGTTTGATACACACGTTCATGCATACTTGTGCAAGTCACTGGGACATGAAGAAAATTCGTACAAGTCTATGCCACTTGCACAAGTTGAAATACTTGTACAAGTTTGTTCCTACACACGTTCAAAATTCTTATACAAGTACGCTTGCACAAGCACACTTACTTGTCAAGTATGCATGAACGTCTGTGTCTGTAGCCGCCTAGGAGAGAAAAAAAAAGAATTTGTGCAAGTCTAGACTTGCGGTAGAATACTGGAACGTGTGTGGTTGGCTTTAGTGGATACGCAGAGTTCCATGAAAATTATGGTAAATCCACTGGCTGTCTAATGAATCTAGGCTGTAGTAGATACATACGCAATGTTATTTACATGGCGTCATAACGTCATAACGTTCTTAAATCATCATTTGCGGGTATCATTTACCTGTCTTTCAGTTAAATCCAAGGCCACAGCTATTTCGTATCTTCTCAATCTAGTTAGATAGTTCGAATTGAGGAATTCTCTTTCCAGTTCTGTAATTTGGGATTTGGTGAAAGCGGTTCTTTCTTTTCTCTGTTTCCTGGCAAGCCTGCGTTTGATTTCTGGAAAAGTAAAAAAACTTGTTAAAGTGTTGCTTATAGTGTGCAGTTTCAATGCTTTTATTTGAGGAGAGCTATGGTCAGGTTCTCACAGGAATTTTATCTCTAATTAATCTCTCATAGGAATTGGCCTCAAATCCAAGGAGACAATAGAGAAAAGGAGATATATCCTCTATTATAGATCCGGGACTTACGGGACTACAACGATAAAGAGGAGTTAAAGAAGTAGATAAAATAGGTATCTGAACTATGGACAAGTTCCTCGACTGTGAACTACTATACATAAAATACATATACATAGTAGTTCATCAGATATCAATTATACCCAAAAGATCGAGTTTACTATAATAACAGCAAATTATGAGTAATAAACCTCATTAAGAAAAAGCTAAACAGCTGTTTCTTGTGCAACAAAGAAATCTTAATAGATGAAACTGGATTAAATGCCAAGAAATTGGAATTTTTAAATAAGCCATTTAGATCAAAGAAATTTAGCCGCGCAGAGATGCAGCCGTTCTTTATGTGCGAGTGAAAAATTAGTTTAGCTCCGTCAAATAGTTTTGTAAATAATGCCGTCTGGTTAACTTCCAGTTAGTCTACAGTCAATTTTTTCCAAAGCTTTTAATTCCACGACTTGTCTATTTTTTTAAACACCAATCGGACATATCGTAAATAAAAATAAATATATTTATTTAATTTAAGCATGCACGAAATAGCCTTTCTTATTTAATGGAGCCTTACTTAATAAATATGTAAATAAACAGTGGCCGGGCTTTTGTGGCGTATAAAGCCGGAGGCAAATTATACAGGGTGAGTCTTAAATAAGTGCAAATATTTTTAGGGGTAGTTTATTTCGACCCGAGAAACCCGTATGTGAGGTTGTTTTCGCGAAAAAAAATTGAATATTTGGAATTTTTTAAATTTTTAGTTAAAAAACATATTATCTTCATAATATGACAACATAGGTATGTAGTAGATTAAATTTACAAGAAAGAAAACCCAGAAAAGATCCAGCAGTTCTCAAAATGTAAGCGGAAAATCAATTTTTTGGAAATTTTCAAAGTAAAATATCTCGGTTATTTTGGACTTATTTGAAAAACGGTAAAGAGAAAATATGTGTCGTTCATCGAAATCTACTAGGCCTGAAAATATTTGCACTGATTTAAGACTCACCCTGTATAGGTACTTTCTTTAGATAACATAACTCTAGATATAGTACGTCTCACGTAACTATTCATCGTTTCGACATTTACACTTGACATTTGATTTTGTGGTAATACTTTCACTCGAACGAAAAAAAAAACCGTGTATAAAAATGTGTTCAGTAGTGGACGCTGCGTTAGTGCGTTACAGCCCGTATTAGAAATTATATTATTGTTTTTTTTTAATATTCCATCTAGTCTTTAGACTAGAGCACTTAAGTTTTAAGTTATGCTCACTGTCCACGGAGGCGTAGCTTCATAGACGCTTCAAAATACGCCGTGCAGCATGTGTAGCTAAGCTCTGTCCTCGAAGCGTATTACAAATTACAAGCGTACCATTTCATCTATAGTCTGTCCAACGGAAGGATCCCTGACAGTGACAGATGTATTTAGGTTAAGTGGAAGAGCAGCTCACCGGACGTTGTTCGGTAAGGGCTGAAGTTCGCCCTTGTTCTACTTTTAATAATTAATATCGTTAAAAATTGTATTTTTGTTTACTTAGAACAATAAAGTCATTATTATTATTATTATTATTATGTGTCCGTGAATTCAATTCACAAGCAAATTGTATTTTGTGTCAGTTTTTGTATATCGTCTGTCGAAGTCTTCCCTGACTCGTTGGACAGACTTTATTTACGAGATTACAGACTTTATTTATTTATTATAAATTTATTTTATATACTATATCAGACGTCGCAAAACACGGCGATTATGGTGGGAATCAGCCGGGGCAAAAAATTGGTAGTAGCGCCCCCTCTCTCCAGCGCTTGAAATAAATTCATTTAAAAAACTTACAAATATCTAGATATACAGTTCATATCAATTAAACTTTTAGTCACGTGATTAAACTCCGGTCAAGCTTAATCACAGCGTTGTCCACTTTTACATATTTTCTTTTAATAAAAATATTTTAGGTAACAAAAATAAATTAATTATAAATATATAAACAGTTATTATTTACATCAATAGAACTCACCTTGTTAACAGCACTTAAGACATAAAGGACCATTACTGCTGCTTTCCCATAATAAATTTGCGATGAGTTTGTTACAGCTATTAAGCTATCTTGTACACTTCGCACTAAAAGAGCTTCTAAAAAGAACAATGTTCGACTGCAAGGTCTGCTAGTAAACATTTTCGAGCTTATAGTATCAAAACACTATTTATTTAAACTAAAAACTCGTAATACAAAACTAAAGTATTAAAACGAATGACAATGTCAGGAAATAAATAAATAAATGCGGCAACTTGACATTTTTTTACAGCAGAGCTACCACCTGAATCCCCAGCGCGAAATTTAAATTCCAGTTAGTCAGCACGGCGCCGGCGTCGAATATGTCCTTGGTTGGCAACAATGAATTTAAATATCGCGCTCTCGATTACGTAACTAAAAGTTTAATTGATATGAAATATAGGTAGGCATTTTTCGTAAACGGAACAGTTTAGACTAACTGGACGTTTTAAAATTAAATGAATACTTGATAGAACGTAAGGTGCATACTAGGCGCTTTGTGGGGCATTTTTTTTCATTTTCAACCATATTATATTATGATTTTGGCGCCCCCTGATACTGGCGCCCAGGGCAGGCGCCCCGGTTTGCCCCTCCTTAGATCCGAGGCTGGTGGGAATAAAATAAAATGGACAATGGACAAGTACATAATATATATTTTCTATTAAATCATTTGACATTAGTCTAGCTATGCTTTTAATTATTTTAAATTTATTTAAAAAAAATCTGTAAATCTGTAAATAAAAATATGTAGTGCTTTAGCTTTAACTTTCAATTCATATATAGAGCGCTATTTTCTAAACTCCATATCTTGAACCGCTACTGTCTTGTGGTATTTAAGTATTAATATTTGCTATAATGTACATGACAAATTTTACTTCTTTTGTATTGGTGGAAAAACCTACATATACATCTGAGTAATCAACGTGTTAACATAAAATGTGTCATTCGCCAAATATAATGTAATAAGATGACTAATTTATTAACTATACATATAAAAAAATTAACCAGATATTTCTGAATCACAAGTACTATAATATTTTTGATCCAATATCAGAGTGCCACCGCATGTAAATAAAACTTCTAAAAAACTTATTATTATCTTCACAACCAATTATCTGTAGAATTGATTTTTTTGGCAGATAAACCATTTCTGTTAAGAGTCCATTTCACTAGTCCGAAAAAGTAGCAAAATAAGCGTTCGGCATTTAACGTTTTATGTAAAACTGGCTAAATATTTTTACACAAATAAAGAAGGAAATTAAAGATAAAGGCTTATACTATATCCATATTGTAGCACATTTTTAGAAAACTTCTTTATTTTTAAGATTTTGAAGGTCAAACATCAACAAAATATTCCTTATGTTTGGACTAAATTTTCTCGAAAATAAAGACATAATTTAAAACTCCGTTACAATATGGAAATAGATTGAAGTTTTGTGATTACAGCGATATATAATTTGTATGGTTTTGTAACAAATTGCTCGCTATTTTATGGCAAATGCTGAAGCTCTGCAAACCTTAATCAAGCCTTAATCAAAGCACGTGTGTTTTAAATTTTGGGTGTGGCTTAACACGACAAGATCGAGCTAAGCTTTAGGCAGATTTCTAAAATATAATATATATTTGTTTCGGCCACACGCATTATTTAAATGAATAATAATTTTAAAAAGCACATTTTTTGAATAAAACGTTTTCCATGAAATTCTCTATCAATAAATTTCATATACTTCGTTATCAAACCGTAATCCTGTAGATTACTTAAATACCTACAAATTTTCTAAAAAAATAAAAAATAACACATTTTTGAACACAACAAAATAATATCAACTAAACAAAACTAGAAAACGTCATTTTTCTTGCATCACAAGGAAATAAAAATTAATACGTAGCCAAGAGTCATAATTCAGGATTTCTCTGGGGGGTGCCCAGTAGTACATGGGGGGAGGGGCACCCACGGGCGCCCTTGTAGTTACGCCAATGGCCACACGCCCGCTTTACCCGACCCCTGAGAGCGACCCGAACAGTACGGCGTAATAGATTCTTAAATGAACCACTTTTCTGACATAAAGTGATCAAAATTTTAACGTCTATATTAACAGCTAAGTAACGCTGACAACTGACCTAAAGGCGGGTCACTGAAGAGTTATATTTGCTATACGATTCTTTATTTCAAAATTAATCAACGAACAAAAGATTAGAATAAAACAAAATAAAAACGAGTGCAAGTGTAGTAGCTATTTGAACATCTTGTTTTTGACACACCCAAGTAATTACAGTTGGGGGTTGGAACCTTTGATGTTACAACCAAGCAACCTAACGAAATAGTCAATCTACTTAAAAATCCGATATGGTTTAATATGAAATTGTTAATTACACCCGGCCCGTATACCAAATTTAAGCTTTTTATAGTCTCTATTTCTTAAAGCTTGAGAGCACAATACCATTATTATGAATGGAAAAAGCGTTTATCCTATGCCAAAAGATGGGATCAATTTTATTTTAAGGGTATATTATAGGGGCCTATTATATATTATATTAAGGCTGTATATATATATATATATATATATATATATATATATATATATATATATATATATATATATATATATATATATATATATATATATATATATATATATATATATATATATATATATATATATATATATATATATATATATATATATATATATATATATAAAATAAACTGCAGCACTATGGGTTCAGGGATCATCTCTCGAATGGTTTAAGTCGTATCTGAGCAACAGAAGTCAACTTGTGAGGGTGGA